GCTTTTTCTCTTCCCTTTTTTAAAATAAAGGCTGGGTGGGCATGACAAGGGCTAGGCATGATGTCACTTGATGTCATGGCCATCTTTCACCCCCCCCCCTCTGTTTTGTATTTTTAAAAAGGGGGTTATGCACATCTTTGGATATATGATTTTAATTACAGGTTTAAGGAAATAAATGTTCCATTTGAGTGTAACTGGCATATTGCTTATGGGTTATGCTCACTGAAACTTTTGATACATTCTAAATGGATTGTTGTTACAGTTATACTATAAGTGTTATTGTAAGTGTATGTAGCCCAAAATCCTATTCCTTAGTGTAGTGAATTGCACTGAATAAACCGTTAATGGGGATTTGGGGGAGTCACACCTCCATAAGTTCTATTGATTCAAATGGGACTACGTTAGCTGTGACTTACTTTATCATAATAAGATAGAATATCCCCATTTGAATAAATGGATCTTACAGAGGAGCTGATGTACTAAATTCTCATTGATTCTGTGGGTCTCCTCTAATGCAATTTGCTACACTAAGCAACAGGACTTTGGCCATGCTGTATTTGTTTTTTTTCCCTGAATGTACTGCTAGAAATAGAGTACATATAAAATAAGATTATCATATCTTGGAAATGCCATCATCCATTTTAAGCAATTATTCAGAATATTATCTATTATAGTCAGACTTAGGGTGCAACAACATTGACAAATAATGTGAGAAATGAACCAAGACTGTGACTGCTTGATTTGCATTATTTTCTGTTGACTACATGATACAAGAGTCAATGCATGTCAGCCTGGAATTTACCCACCTCCACCCCACTCCATAGTATTGTCCTCCACTGCTGGGAGGCCCCACCACACACCAGCCATGCAGCTCGGTCTGGACCAGTTGCAGTCGCTGGACTGTCTTCAAAGGCAGCCCCACATAGAGTGCATTACAGTAATCTATACAAGATGTTACCAGTGGGTGTGTAACTGTCATGAGACTCTGCTTGTCCAGGTAGGGCTGTAGCTGGTATAATTTCTGCAGCTGAAAAAAGGCACCCCTGGCCACCAAGTCCACCTGGGCTTCCAGAGTTAGACTGGGGTCCAGGAGCACCCCCAGGCTGCGGACCCTGTTCCTTAGGGAAATGGCCCTCCAGCCTGTTCGGTGAAGCACCCACTAACATCACTTCCGTCTTGTCTGGATTGAGTTTCTATTTATTAACCCTCATCCAGTCCATTATCAGGTCCAGACACGAGTTCAGCACAGAAACCGCCTCACCTGTATTGGTGGAAAACGAGAGGTAGAGCTGAGTGTTGTCAGCATATATTCCTGACTCCTCAGCATATATTCCTGACTCCTCAGCCCAAACCTCCTGATGACCTCTCCCAGCAGTTCCATGTAGATATTAAACAGCATGGGGGACAGCCTGAGGAACTCCATAACATAAACACCATGGGACAGAGCAGCCCCAGCACCACCCTCTGGACACGGTCATCCAGGAAGGAGCGGAACCACCGTAAAGCAGTGCCCCCAACTCCCAACCCAGCCAGCCTATCCAGAAGGACACCATGGCCGATGGTGACAAAAGCTGCTGAGAGGTCCAGGTGTGTCAACAGAGCCACACTCCCGTGTCTCTCTCCCGGCAAAGGTCAGCGTGCAAGGCTATCAAGGCAAACCCAGCCTGAAACCCCATTGAAATGGATCCAGAAAATCAGTTTCATCCAGCAGCGCCTGGAGTTGCCGGGCCACAACCTGCTCCAACATTTTGCCCAAATAAGGGAGGTTCACCACTGGTTGGTAGTTAACCACCAGCCTTGGGTCCAGGTTAGGCTTTTTTAGGAGTGGCCGAATTACTACCTCTTTCAAGGTGGTAGGGACCACTTCCTCTCTCAAAGAGGTGTTCACGGCCTCCTGGACCCAGGTACGAACCCCTCTGGCAGATCTTCCTATTAGCCAAGATGGGCAAGAGTCGAGACAGATCCAAGCATCCTGTCCACATCCTCAGGGCTCAACAATTCAGACTCATCCATTAATACTTGAGCTAAACACAGCAGACTGGACACATCCTCTGATTCTGCAGTAACAGTGGAGTCCAACCCACTGTGAATCTGAGCAATTTCCCCCTCAAAATGAGGAAGTAATATGGCTGGATCCATTAGTCTCCGAGGGCGGATCATCTTAGAGGGAAGAAGAAGCTAATAGACTAAACTTGACCAGGAAGTGGTCTGACCATGATAATGGGGTCAGAACCAGCTCCTCCACACCCAAACTACCATTTTCCAGTCCCGTTGAGAAAACCAGGTCCCCCAGCACCAACAGCCTGGGAGTCTCAACACCAGGTCCGAGACTACCTCCATCAGCTCAGGCAGGGAGACTTTGGTATGCAGCAGGGTGGGCAGTTGTAGCGTTCACCCCTTGTTATGCAAAATAAGTCATGTATTATTCAGGTTCTATGCTAATGTGTTTGAGAGGTGGAGCTGAAAAGAGATGTTAAAAGGCGGAGCCTGGGTCAGAATCAAAGAGTCAGAGTCAGAGTTAAGTTAGTCAGAGAGAGAGGGAAGAGATACAGAGTGATAAGACTGGTTAAGAAAATAGGTAGAGAAAGTGGCAATGATATTGTAAGAGAAAAGTATGTACTGAGAGTACTGTTAACGATTTGCTTGTGTACAATGGTTACCTGAAGAACTTCTGTTATTATTAAATCTGATTCACTTCAATAAATAAGTTCTGTTTGAATTCACAAGACAAGTGTCCTGACAAACGTCATTTATATTGTGGAATGAGGTAATCCACTGGTGGCAGCGAGAGGAAAACGCGACATGAGCCTTTGTGAGGGCCAAACATGCAGGTGCCACAAAGGTGAACACCACAGCGGTACACCACCAGAATCCCCAATCTGTCTCGTAAGCCCAGCACACAATATAGACCCTCAAGCCCTCCTCTCAAAGGGACAGGAAGCCTGATCACAGAGATAGAACTCCTATATAGCAACTCCCCCTCCCCAACCCTCCGAGCGACGTTGGTTCTGGATCGAGTACCCAGGCAGACACAGCTGGGAGAGTGGAACACCATCCTTCTCTCCCACCCAGGTCTCAGTAATACATGCCGGATCAGCACCCTCATCCAGAATTACATCATGGATGACGGCAGTCTTATTTTGTACTGACCTGATGTTCATCAACAGCTCCGCATTGCTTGAGGGTTTGCTGATATGGTCTCCTGATCCCATCTGGTTGGGGGTAGGACTAGAAGAGGGGAAGGATGTAAGATATCTAACCTCTCTTCTCCTACGTGGGCATGTTCTATCCCCACCACCATTCCTTCCCCTACCCAGCACCACCACAATGGCTGCCCCCTCCATTGCCCTCCCCCCTTCCTGTTCCCTCAGATCCACTGTGGGTCTCTATGTACGTAACCTTATGGCAATTGATAATCACAAATCCCCTTCTCCCCCCAAGCCAGGTGGCTGATGTTGGGGAGGGGGTGGGACAGCCAGAGGCAGCGAGGGCCCAGTCCCGCAAGGCCGAGGGAGTCCACGCCAAACTCCCCCAGGAAACCCTGGCAACTGGCAGCAGCACAGCCACACTGTCTCTCACTCAGTGCCTGAGGGACGGCAGGTGATGAGACTCCCCCGAAGTCAGGAATATTGGTCCCATTTGCAAATGCTAGGGGGTACGCAGATGCTGGGGGAGGGAGCTTTTGGTGTCATGTGACCCGGAATGTACAATCTGAGCTACCCTACTCTCCTCAGATATGGTGTAAGGTATACAGATATTTCATCAGTGTTGCAGTGATACTCATCTGTCTGTCTCACCAACTTCTGAATACAGAGCAACATCTTGTCCTTGGCTTCAGGCAGCAAACTATGTAAATTGTTCCTCTTTTGTAGAATTACAAAAATTGGATCAGGGAGTGTTGTGAATGTAATGTTTCAGATAGTGCAACCAATCAATCTTGATGGTGTTTTATAATATGGACCTCATTGGTGAGGGACATTCATATATATATATACCAGATTTTATTGAGACCTTGCTGAGCAGAAAGTCTTACCAGTAGAATAATTGTGTTCCTTGCATGTGCACTGCCATTGTGCATTCAGTGCTTCCCTTGTGCAGACACCATCGGTTTTATGCCACTCTAGGCTACAGTTGGTGGCTTGACTAAACAGGATCTTGGCCAAATATATCTGCTACGTGGGAGAGTGTCTGGATTTATAGACTTGGCACCCTAGCACCCTGTGTCCTGAGCCAGGAGGGCAACAACTGACATCATCCATCCACTTTGGAGGATTCTGTCTTCTGATACTGTCACTTTGGATCCTGCATACTTTTATTCAAAGCAGCTGCAGGAGATGGAACCTTTTCCTAATATTTCACTTCCTTCTGTTTTGTTAGTCACTTTATAAACCTAAAACCTGAAATAAAAAAATTAAAAGATGATTTTAAAAAAAATACTAAAATAAGTGAAAAATAATGTACTATAAGATCTAATCATAGTCCTTCAGCATGTAGCCCAAAGACAAAATGTAACATAGGTTGGGATGTGGGTAGTTGGGAGGGAGGAATAGAAAAGTTTCCAGCTTCAAAGTTTGAGACGTCAAAACACTTTACTATGTGATTATGGGTCAAATTCAGCTAGCCCATTTCCCTCTCTCTCTCTCTCTCAAAAAAAAAAGCTCTCTGTGAGATGCTGCAGAGGTAGAATGTGGCAGAGTAAGCGCCCTAGTCAGAAAGATAGACCTCTACAGAAGATCTGTACCAATAGACATGATAGTCCTATATTTATCTTTTGGAAACATAAGGTCTTTTTTGAATGCATTTTACACAAGACATTTAAGCTAGTGTGTTTTAGGATGAGGTTTGTAATAATGAGCATCAGAGGCATTCAGTTATTTGCTAGTAATGGGCAAAGCTGAGCCTCCTGTACTGAGCCATAAATGGGTCTGAGACCACCCAAATGAAGATTTTGAAGAAAGCTCTCCCACATTCCGTACTGATTATTTATGTTTCGGTTTTAGAACACATCCGTTGCTATAGCGCGCTATGAGTATATGGTGTAGTGTGTGTGTTTATCCCTTGTGCCTGGCAGTGCATGACATTTTAGCCCTTGTGCCTGACAGTGTCGTGAATTTGTGACTCATTGTGTCCTTTGTCACGTATCTTTTGTTTCTAAACAAAAAAGATAGATATGCAATAACTACAAGGATAAAGGGAATAACAACACAGCATGGGCAAAACTAACACCTGCTGCCTTTGTTTGGCTGCTTATTTATATCAACTGTGGAGACCTTGCAGGTGCAAAATATTTTTTTTTAAAAAAAATAATAATTGTAATAAATAAAATTTAATTCTGAATTAACTTTATTTTAGTACATCAAAGGCCGTGACTGTTGCTTAGGAACAGCAGAGTCCAAAATAAAGACCAAAGGATCCATAATTGCAAAGGTTTCCTGCAAGTGCTTTCTGTACATGCGGTCCATCCCAAAGTGGCATAAAGAATTAAAAGCTTGCAATTAAAAACTAGAGGTTGTAAATCAGTAAGACATAAGCCTAATTCTGCTGTTTGTAAGTGCTCCTCGTGGCTTATAAATAGCATTGTTGCAGAATATTGGATTTCTAGCAGTGTTTTTTTGTTTGTCGTTGCTGACGGCTGTCTCCAACAATATTGATTTAAGGCACAGAACTAACGAGTCAAGATGGCTGAGGTTTGACTGAGGTGACACTAAGCCAAATGACACTGTGGTGTACAATCCTGATCCTTCCCAGCCTAGGGAAGTTGAAAATCATATAGGATCATCCTCACTCTCTTTCCCCCCCCCTGGCACAATGGCTGTAGGCATCACCTCTGAGTTGAGAAGGGTCTGGATATGGTGTAACTCAGCTCCTCCTCTGTTTCTCCATTCTGATGTCACTACAGCCTACATATCTTTGAGTTTGGATTGCACTGCTAGAGAAGAAAGTAGTCTTATCTGATCTTGCTTGCTTGCTTTAACTTTCTTTCTTGTAGGTCTGGGCTCCAAAGCAGCTCCCAGTATAAACAAAAAACAAATTCAGCTAAAAAACAGTACTGGAACTCCAGCAGTAAGTCACAACTAAAGTACGCCCACTGAGAGAGTAAGAAATTGTTGAGTCAATTCCTCTGTAAGTTCAGTTGATTCAATGGGCCTACTCTAGTTGTAACTTACTAGTGGATTTCAACTAGTTATGATGTTTGTTTGTATATTTATTTTATTTTATTTATATCCCGCCTATCTGGTCTTACAACCACTCTAGGCGGCTTCCAAGTACATACATAAAATGACATATAAAAATTATTAGCACTAGGAACAACTTGGTTAAAAAGATTATCTTATTAAAATTTATTTTAAAAACAAATCAGTTACAAAAGTAACTACATTAAAAGCCCATTTCTTAGCAGCCAGTCAGCAGCCCAAAGCCATCATGTCTTTACCTAACATTGGAAACCCAGCATCCCTTGGTAGGAAATTTCACAGCCTGGGAGCCGCCATGAACATAAGTAGCAAAAAATAACCAGTTACACTTTAAGACAAACCATCTTATTAGAGCAGTGCCCCCTTACATTTCACTTTATGTTCTCCCAAAGGAAAATATTTTCTGTATGCCAGAGCAACAAATATAGCAGTGCTAGAAATGAGTGCTAGAAAGTAGTGTGAAAAAATGATTGGAGGGTTATAGCTCCACATTACTTTATTTATAGGTAGAGTCCAAGGTTAAGGCATTTCAGAATAAGCTCTCTTCCAGGGATGTTTTTCTTGCTTCTGTTCATAATGCAAAGGATTTCATTCCTGTTCTACCTGCAACCTATACAGCTCCCATAAACTCTGATTCCTTTTTATTTTATTGAATTAAGTAATGCATTATTATAAACTTATATATTGTGCACAGTTATGTGGTCATAAACCCCCTTGAACTCAGTGGGTCTTAATTTTGAGGACACCTCAGTGTAACTGCCCTGCCAACTTCCTTTCCTTTTCCCAAAAAATGAAACCTCATATCCTTATCACATTCACTGCAGTGGTTTAATTTCTTTGCAAAGTTGACCTCTCATTATTCAAATAGGGGCCCTGAATCCTGCCTGTTCCCCAGAGGGTGTCAAACAGAGGGGCTTTGACAGTCTAATTCAGTAACTCCTCATCAACTTACTTTGCTTCATGCTGTATAAATGGCAATGGAATTTTTTGAAAAATGGAACATGTCGACTAACTGGGGCAGTGGTGAGTAATGCATCTATAAATGGGTTCAGCTGAGGAGTAAACATCACATGGTCTCTAGCTTAGAAACTTGTTGAGTAGGAAACATTTCATACATCTTTGGCCACTTGGCACGCAATTGCTTGTTCTCTGCTAGCAATATATGAAGAACCTGAGCTCTAGCCTAGCCCCAACAATGTAATTGTTTGTGGTGGCTTTGTGCAAGGTGGCAAGGGCAACATGCTAAAGCATGGCATAAGAGAGACTGGTTAATATGACCTAAATTTGATCCCTTTATGCATATGACTTTTATGTCAGTATTTAATTACATGATAGACACAGACATCTAGCCTAAGGTAACTCAATATGGCTTTTGCTCCATGTTTCCAGTGTTGGTGATGTTATTATGCATGAATCCTGAAATGTGACTGGATAGATGATATTTCCATAGACGGTAGAGTATTCTCACTAGATGTTTCATGTAGTGGACATTTTGGAACAGATCATACTTTGCGTAAAGCTGAAAGGGTGTGCCAAAACACATTTCTGGGGTGGAATTACCATGACAACAGAATGGGCTGAGAAATGTATGGGCCAATATGCATAGCATTCCAAGAGCTGTGGTCCAGTAATCAATCATTCCAGTAAGACTTGCAGAGTAGCCTTTTTGCCTCTAAAGTTGGTAACATGAACAAACAGTGCCTATTCTGCAAAATATTTGGCACTAGGGCTCAAAGGCTTTCCAGAAAGTACGATCTCTTCTCTGGGATATCAGATGTGGGCTTGGCGTGACTTTCCCTGTTGTACTATGCTCTCCATATATGGAAATGGATTCTAGGCACAGTCTCCTTGAGTTCCTACTACTCCCCCATTTTCCCACACAAACGTGCTGGGTGATATTTGTCAGGCAGAAGATGAAAATGCTTGTTTACACCATCAACAATTATGCTGAAAACCACACCACCAAATGAAATGCAATAGGAATTATTTGCCAGCTCACACCTCAGAGCTCTTGCTGCAAATGGGACATAGTCCACATTTGTATTAGATTGTAAATGCCACAGAAAACTCCATGTGGTTCTGAGTTTGATTAGATTACCCTTGGGATCCCTTCTACCCCTACAATTCTGTGATTCTTAATAACTAGTAAGATTACTACAGAGAGTATATAACTACTTTTTAACCAAGTGCTATCAAACAACAGGAAATATGATAACAGTTGACTGAAAAGTAGATAGAAAATGGAACCTCAACTGTCACTGGGAAAAGAATTGCTGCCTTTACATAGGAAGCTAACATTTAGGATTCCCCTCTACACCCTATTTCTTCAGGTTCCGTGCTTTCACTGATATCTAAGTTTGTACTTTAAACCCGTCATGTGTTTGTAAACCTAGAAGTGATGCCCCACAAAGAGAGTATACAGCAAGAGTTAAAAATGTGAATAGGATCCTAAGTAACCTATACTTGAGGGGGATGGCAGATCAGTACACTGTCCCTTGAAGGTGACACCTGTTTGGGTGGCTACCCTGCTGGTAATTAGATGGCCCAGAAAGATCACTGCAGGACACAGTGAAAGATCACAGTCAGGAAACAGACTCATTGATTTAACTGAAAGTTCTCAGTTTGAAGTAAAAAGATCCTAAAAATCATCTTAAATGAAAGGCATATGAAAACTCAGTCAAGATTACAAAATTATGGCATTCTGGCTCAGTTCTTGGGCAATGTAGAGTTGGGGCCAGGGGAATAATAAGGAGCCATTTTTAAAATTCCACATTACTTGTTCTCAGTAGCATTAATGCTACCAATTGTATCAGCAGGATTAATTTACACTGTTTACTTTAGCCAAAATACTGGAAATAATTGAGGCACCTTTAATTGAGCTTCCTTAACTGACTCAATAACTGATGGGATGTCTTCATTAAATATTTTTCTAAGCGTGTAGGTGGTGGTACTTATTCAGTTGTACACAATTTCTGCAGGCGATGTAGTCTTGTGTTCTTACTTTATGGTTTTCTTCTAGGTCTTCAGATAGGGCAATTATATGATCATTTCCAACATGCACCGTTGAAACCTGCCCAGATACATAATCAATGTGGAGTTTTTCCATATTATTCCCCCAAAGATATCCTCCAGTTTTAAACCAAACAGTGAGCTGAGAATGCTGGGGAAATATGCATTATTAATTTCCATGTCTGGATTGTAGTCAAGCAAGTAGTTCTAAGAAAGTATAGACTACAAAGAGTCCAAACAAATGTTGTAGCCAACAGTCATACATTAATCTGTAGACTAAGTAGTCATGTCCATGAAAGCTCACACAGAAATTTTGAGTTCATATAGAAGTATGTATCATCTAAAAGAAGATGAAGTTCAAGTTCATACAGACGATGAAATAGAGAAGACATTAAGATTAGATAACGATATTGAGAGGCAATGTTGTTAATTGCTATAGCAACAAATAAAGAATTCTGCAAGTGGGAGCTACAGCTGCTTTTTTAATCACTGGGAATATAAAACTGGCTACTTTTCTCTTCAAATGTTAATTGAACGTAGCAATTTGATATAGCGTATATATTTAGATTGATATGAAGCAATCACTCAGTGTAAATTATCTGAAAAAGGGCACCATCAGAGAAATAAACAGGAGTATTTTCTGTTTTCCAAACCAAAGGCCAAGTAGCGTACTATATGAAGTGGAGAATTCATGTCAATTGTTAGTTTCTTTTTTCTGTGGGGAAAAGAGAAGGAACACCTGGTCCCAAGTCAGAGTGAAGTATGCAGCAAAGAGCAGCTATATCCTTCCCTCCTTACCCATGACCGTATTGCAAGCAATTCCTCCACCATGACAATTAGCACCAATCGGAAGTTTTCTACCCTTGTCAACTGTTCCATGGGGGAACTGACTTTCAGAAGCGGGGGGACTACATCTGTGGATTTTAAGATACAACTTCCTTTCTCTACATCGTACAGCTCCAGTCTAGATGTGGGGGGTACTTCTGAGTAAAAACAACAACAATAGACTCTATGGTACTTTTAAAAATATAACATGGAGTTTGACTCAAAGGTTATTGGCTAATAGACAACAGCATATAAAACAATAAAAATATGTTCGATCTTATTAATAGATCTCCCTGTGAGCTATGGGAGAGGATATGAACACACACACACACACACACACACACACACACACGTTACATTGGCCTCTTTTATATTAATTGTTATCAAAATAGGTTGCCAACTATGGGGCACATGATGTTCTTAACAGTGAAAGTAATGATATTGAGCTGATAGGTGCTGTGCACTTAAAACTGAGGATAAGGTTCGTTCTTGCCAGCATCTATGTCATTTCATCCGCCCACAGCTGCAAAGCTCAGTATTCAGAAATACTCACTGTACAGGAGAGAAACAGCTAAAGAACATTTCCAAAAGAAACGGCAGGGAGAATTTGTGTGGGCAGAGTGTAATTACTCAGACTGCAATGCAAGTGCACTTGTGTACCCAGAAGCTTTTAAGCAAACTTTAGAAGTTTAATGCCTTCTTTGTCCTTCCTTCCTAGCAGAACAACCTTCAAATGTCAGAGAACAGTGTTGTGTAGTGGTTATAGCATCAAGTTAGGATCAGGGCAGCCCAGGTGCAAAGCTCCACTCACCTGTGAAATTTACTGGGTAAATGTAGGTCAGTCAACCTCTCTGAGACATTCCTACCTCCTAGAATTGTTATGAGGAGAAGCAGAACTTGGAAATAATGGAGTAGATTTAACATATAATGTAAATGTTAAAAAGAATTCCTTTCGCATTTAAAAGGAGGAGGAATGTATCTGATTGTTTAAAAATAAAGTTTTGAGAATAGCATTCAGAAGCTCAGAACAGTACCTTTAAATTTTATACCTTAGATGCATCAATTTGCTGCACCTTCTCTTATTGGGAAAATAACTATTCTAACTTCATTATGTCAAAACAAATGTGGAGTTCCCAAGCTCTGGGGCGGAGTGGTGGTGGTGGTAAGGGTGCAGCAAGCATGCCAAATGGGGTGGATCTGGCACACCAGACCTCTTTATATCCAACTTTATCGATGTGTTTCAGAAATAGATCCCAGTCCCTCAGAATAGTTGTTCCAGGGAGGAAAGGTTTCACTGATGAGTCAGATCTTTTGTTGTCCTCCTCACCAACAGGCCCTCAAGGCTAACAGATCAGTCAGAAACTTGCAAATTGAAACTAAGGGTCACTCAAATTCCTTTCTGAAAATTAGACAAATAGATGCAGATCTGCAGACCTGTGACCCAGCACAATCACCAATTAGGTATTATGATTTTCCTGTGATTTGACATGTTTTATTTCTGCTGTCTTATCAGAACTTTGGCCAGTCTTTATGTCTAATGGTGTTGTGCTTGGGTTTCCATGGGTTTTGTAGACCACAGACTATACAAGACTAGGTTTAGAACAAAGAATGTCCCTCCCTACCACTTCAGCCTTAAACGTGGGGGTTTTAAGCAAGGGATGATCCAAAAAGATGAAGAGTGGGTTCATCTACTAGTGAAGACAACGTAAAAATCAAGAATATTGGTTTCAATGGGGGCACCCGCTCATGTATATAGGCAAGAAGGATTTCTGTTGAATAGCAGTGGTGTGGGATTTTAATGGGTCTGTAAGTACACACTGCACCATGCTGATAATAAAGTTATTCACCCGCTCATGTATACAGGCAAGGAGGATTTCTGTTGAATAGCAGTGGGATTTTAATGGGTCTGCAAGTACACACTGCACCATGCTGATAATAAATCATGGTTTAGTGGCCATTTTGGTAACGAAATCTTCTTCCAGCTGAGCATGTGGGGAGTAAATAGGAGAAGGCATCTCAGCTCTTGCTGTCCTCACCTATAAAACATACTAGAATATACAAACTGTACTCTGCTCTGTCTTTAAATTCTGCTTCATGCTTTGAGTTTGGGTCTCCTACTCCTGTTGCATCCAACCTGTCCCTTGTAAGTACATCACAGCAAACAATCCAGTGAAAGCATCTGTCTGGCATATTAACCCTTGTTGGTAGGGTGGGGAGGTGGCTTGCAAGATTCATTTGCCCCACTGAAATACAAGATTAGTTTCATAACCAGACTGTCCACATGAATGCCTACTGAGAGAAAGGACTGTGAGGGTAATTATTTCACATTAAGAGATGTGTAGAACTGGGCCTACATTCTCTTCACACCCATCAGTGTGTGTGGGTTGGGGTTAGACATACAGAACAATTTTCTATTTCAGGAGAGGAAGAGGTCTCTAGATCCTACTATTTTGACACTCAGCAGCCTCTTGCTGATGAGTGCTAAATAATGGTGGCATTACGAATCTCACAGTCCTTTCTCTTTACAGTGGAATGGGCCTTAATGTAAGGCATGATGATTGCCTCTATGTACTGGAATAACTTGTTGTGTAGAATGTTCACATATTTTCTCCAAAGGTACAAATGAAACTCATTTGGATTTTATTTTTCCAGGTCTGTCTAGAACATATGGAGAAGATAAATGGATTACAATCAAGAAAGATGGCTGAAATAATTTATATATTTATACCAGCATCCAAAGAACAAAAACCTTCACAGAAATATCTTTGCACATTTACATTAACTTGTTATTTATTTTGCTGATTGTAAAGTGTATGAGTGATACAACAGTACAAAAATACATATGTACATATTCAGGAAGTGAATTTGATCAGATGAGTAGCAATAAATGTAGTATAATTGTAAACACAGAAGCAAAATAAAGGTTTTTTTTTCGAAATTTCCCCCCTTTTTAAGTATGATCCAAAGAATAGGACAATAAACATAACAGACACACCTATTGTGTGCATATACTGGATGAAATCCAGTAGTGAGTCACAACTAACTGGGGATCTGGTGAGTCAACTCCTCTGGAAGTTCCATTGGCTGAATGGGCCTACTCTAGTTGTGACTTACTATTACATTTCAGCCAAAGAGTAAATAGCCATGAGGGATAGAAAAGGTTTATGTGGATTATGCTGAACGAACACATGTGAAAATATGTAAAGTCAGGGACACAAATAATCTCATAAAATTTTGCTGCTCTAATGAAACAAGTATCAGACAGAATGTAACCAAATTAATTGTCTGAATTGTGAAAATATAAAATATCTTGAACCCCTGATAAGGAGATCCACAAAGGGAAGCAGGCTTCTGCTCTGGGTCAAAAACCACAGGATCAGTTGAATGTGGTGATGCATCTGGATGATGGAGGTTACCTATTAGGTTACTTTTAATGACCTCCATAATTTATATGTGCTTGCCCATCCAGATTCTGTTGCAAATAAACCTGTGATTTTAGGCAGCTGGGGGGTTATTTTTCTTCATGAACGGAAATGTGACAGTAATTAACCAGCAGTGGCAAGTACAGGAGAAGCCATGATTTAATTGTGGAATTTTGTATGGAAAAAGTCCTTGGTTCAATGCAGGACACTTCCGTGAATTAAAAGGAAATCAGAAATCAGGATAGATGCAAAAGGCCAATGTGTGAGCCTTTGGATACTGTTCACTTGACCAAAGGCATATCTTCTTATTCCATGTACAAGAGCCCATGGGACAGGCAGCAGAATATTTCTCCAACATGAGCAACGAGAAAGCATCATCCACAAGGAAACAAGCTAGTTGATGGGATGCAGGACAAACTGCATAGCACCCAGTTCTAACCTCTATGTACTAACCTCATCTGCTGCCTGAGGCAACTGCTTCACTCTAGCCTATGATAGGGCCAGTGATCACATGACAACATTGAGCTTGATAGACTAATATGCTGACTCAATGTTAAATATTTTACTTCATTTCTATCACAATAATTTAAAGGGAATGTTGAGTTTTGTGGAATGAACAGACAATGAAACTACTTCAGATGTGAGAAACTCAGTTGTTTATTAATATGGCAAGTTGTCACTTTATTTTGGTAGAACTGGGTATTTTTGGAGGCACAACTCTGTGGCTGGAGGCTCTGCTTACTGTTGGGCCAGACAACATCTGACATTACTAATTTCATTCTTAAAACTAAATCATTAATCCCAAATAGAATACCTGACACATACTTAAAACAGACCTGAATAGGATTTATGGTAGTTATGTCTGCCTTAAATCTCACACATTTTACCTGTGTGTAACTCTGGATTTAATTCACTGTTTCCTATATCAGCAGTAAGTGTATGATCTAATAGTTTCATGTATAAAATAATTGTCCCCTTAATCTAAAATTCATCGGCTTGAAATTCAGTTTTAATGAGTTTAATGAATTTTTTTCTCCTCCAGATCTGTGTGACTATGATAATGACATATTAGGTATCTAAATATTTTCCTCTCATTAGTGGAATTATGCAGATTGTTGGAAAATCCCATAAGTTTCAATTCCATTTTAATGTCCAAATACTTTCTTTAGAGAGAAGGAAGCACATTTAATTAAAACATGAAAAAACAGTTTCCCGTTGACCGAATTAGTATCAAATTATATATGATGAAATGATTTGATGTATTCTTTATTTTATTCAGGAATTATTCTACATTAACTCTTTTGTACTACTGCTTAGCACATGTTTGTTTTTCACCACCAATGGCAGAAAGCTAGATGAACTGATAATAAGATGAATTGCACAGATCCTATTTCTCCATGGAATTTCCCCCCTCACATTAGCTTATTTCCACACTCGTAATTCCAACAGAGGAGTTCAACCAGTATGGACAAGAAAGTGAAAATTGAAGTAAGAATGTGTATGAAGACGATATAACAGGAGAATGTATTAAGTATAGCTGGCTAGATAGTTCAGTGGGTTGGGTACCTGGCTACAGGCCAGCGAGAATGGTAAACCACATCTGAGTGCTTTATATCCAGGAAACCATGGCAGGGGTCAACAGAAGTTGGAATCAACTTCACAGCACTTTATTCTTATTGATTTCATCAGTTTATGCAACTTGATGGCACATACACATTAATTATATTGAGAGTGGACTGGTCTTCTCATAGACAAAATAATGGACTGTTTTTGTCTCCTTACCTTACCAAAGAAGACTTTCCAGAACACTTATTCAGAGGGTGAAAAGGGCTGCGAAGGGAGCAAAGATTGCCTGTTCCCTGTGGCATGAATGGAAACACTTTCTACTGAAACAGTGGGAATGCTGGATACAAACCAGAATTTAAAATATGAGTGATAACACTGATGACTAGGCAGGAGAGATTTCTCTGCACAATAACCAGTGCTTTCACATCAGATCACAAAGGTATGTGACACATTTTTGCTCCTGCTGTATAGGCATTATTAGCCTGAGTCAGTGCCATTTATGTAAGACATGCTCCACACACAACAGATCCCCATCTTTGAAGGGATAGCTATGTGAGAAAATTCTGAGTCTTCCCTTAATAAGGACAGCCTACACCACAATAGATACTGTTGTTGCTACTGTGTGAGAAGAAGTACTTTTCTCTTAATGAAAAATGTCCCCTGACAGCTTTTGTTTGCCCAAGAGCAACACCATTCCCATTGACATCAATAGATGTTTCCCGATTCCCCATCCTGGTCTAACAGCAACTTGAGAGGAACAATGTTTGTCAAAAAACACAAAACATGGGAAAATACTTTAACCAATGGTCCAAATGAAAACTGCCTGTTTCCCATGTTTGCGATTCTTCTTTAAAAGGATGTTTTATCTGGTTAGCGTGAAGTGTTGTCCATCCTGAACTTATTACAGTGATTTTTATTGTGTATCTGGTAATCAGAGACCAGCTGAAATGTATTTGCTTTCAAACATTAGGGTTTGTTTGTTTGCTGGCTTTTCTCTGCTTCTTTAATATATGTATAATGAGTTAATTTGAAAAGTTCACACTGCTAGAAAGTTTGCTCCTTGTTCTTCTAATTCAGGCTTGTCCAACCTGCGGCCCGAGGGCCGCATGCGGCCCAGGTTGGCTCATAATGTGACCCAGTGCAATTTTTTATTTTTAAAGAAATTTCAAAGTTTCAAGTTACACTGGCGGCACTTGCGGCTGGGGCACGTCACAACGGGGGGGGGGGGAGGGAAGGAAGGAAGGAAGGAGGAGGAGGGGAGAGGGGGGCTGTGTGACTGCATTGTGCTGTCCCCGTCAATAGGAGGACCCCCTCCTGGCCCATAAAGCCACTGGAGTCGAAACTGGCAGCCTCTGCCCTCTGAGATCACAGCTGCCAGTAAGCGCGCTTGGAGCGGGGCTGTGGAGGACGGCTAGGGCTGCCCCCCCATGCGGCCCAAACCAAATTTTCATCTTCTAATGTGGCCCAGGGAACGTGAAAGGTTGGACACCCCTGTTCTAATTGGTATGTAAAACCCTTGCCAATAGCCATGTTAAAAATACATTTGCCATTGTTTGGTCATATCCATTCCTGCATCTGCCAGCAGAAACAGAGCAGAATCTGAGTCTACACTGAACCCCATGATTTCAGTAACAACTTTTTCCAGGCTGGCCCAAGATTTTTTTATGGCCCCTTCATCCAGTCAATGCCCATAAAACCCACAGCCAGTCAAAGTGCTTTGGCAGCTGAGGCAGAGATCCCTATGCATACCCTTTCTTGCTGTAAAAATACAGAAATGACAAACTAAACAAATAGTGATTTCCTACCCAGTACAACTGCTCACACTAGCTACTTGAAGCAGTTGTTTCAGACTGGGGAACATATCATCTAGACCAGGGGTCTCAAAACTTTTCAGTGGGAGGGCCACATCACATATACTCCACATTTTTAATTTTTTTTTAATAACTTGGGTTAGGGTATGGAATACAGACGGTAAAAGGAAAAAAAGGGTTGGGGTTGGGGGGGGAAGCATCCATTCTATTCATATTACAATATCAAAATTCAAATTCTGCTTTTCTACTATTTTCTGCCTTCCAGATTTTAGTTCACGTTTTGATCTATGTTATTCAAGCACTATCTGGTGACTCTAACCATTTGTAAAAAAATCCCATCTTTCAGTTGCCTTTTGTAAAAGACAGTCCTTCATCACTTCTGATAGAATGTCCATTTCTGCCATTTCTCTTATCTTCTCCATAAGATCTTCTTGTTTCGGTACCACCGGACTTTTCCAATTTTTGGCATAAAGAATTCTGGCTGTGGTGACTATATGTATATATATCTAACTTTGTCTTGCCTATACAGTGGTGCCTCACATAACAAGCACCCCGTTTAACGACGAATCCGCATAGGGAAAACATCGCATTGCAACAATCAGTAAGCGTTTCGCTTACTGATCTTTGCATTGCGATGTTTTAAAACAGCTAATCGGGTGTTCCAAAATGGCCACCGGAAGAAAAAATGGCCGCCCGCAGAGTTTTCACACGGTTTCCTCACTTACCGAGGCGGTGAAAATGGCGACCCTATGGAGGATTTCCGCTTAGCAGTGAGTTTATCCCCCATAGGAATGCATTGAAGGGGTTTCAGTGAGTTCCTATGGGGTTTTTTGCCCCGTATAGTGATGTTTCCAGATAGCGACGATTTATCTGGAACAGATTATCGTCGCTATGCGGGGCACCACCGTACCACACTCTGTCTCTGACTCACTGACTCACTGACTGACTGACTCTGATACCATACTCAATAAAAACAGTTCTGCAGTTAATGGAACCTTACAAAGCAATATTTGTTGTAACACAGTATGCACTCCTATCCAATATCGTTTCGCTACTCTACAAGTGTACCACATATAATACCTTCCCACGTGTGCTTCATATTTCCAAGAG